GTTTCAATATCATCCTTCTGTTGGAGGGAAGAGCTGTGAGCAATCAGTATTGAAGCACAGATTTGTGATCCAGGAACATCACCTTCTGAGTTTACTTAAAATACACTGCAGGCCCCCTAATGAGCTTATTGCAAGTCCAATAACTTATTAATGGCTGCATTTTGCACTAATTATGATAATAGACCTTTCAAACTATCACATTTTAAATCTTAGATGCATGGAATTCTCCTTCAGTAATTTCAAGTGGTATCAGTTCCAGGCCCATGAACCTAATCCTCTCCCCAAACTCATGACACCAACCTTCATTTCATGTTACTTTGTTTGACAGTCAACACTTTTCAAGAAAACCACTAACAATCAATTATTGATACAAGTCCAATTCAAGCCTTGTAGCAGTGATAGTAATGACAAATATTTTCATGAGAATTTCTTCCAGCTTCTACACAGTCCTAATTGAAATTTTGCTTTGCATTCCAAATAGTGATAATGATTTCTCTTGCCGCTTATTCAGCTGAAGATACAGAACAAAATAAACATTGCATTAAGCTATATTCTAGAATTTCTGAAATATTGAATCTCATCAGTCAAGGACAGAAAAAAGTTCTTGTGATCTCTTCATCAGACAGGATACATGTAAACCACTCACACCCATCCCGCAATGCTGCTAACTGACCTCCCTACCTACCAGTTCTCAGCCTATAATACCTGACAAAAGAGTCTCAATGTAAAGGTAAAGAATATCTGCTGAATGTTCTTAGCACACATAATAACCCAGTGAATTTTATATTCCTGCTCCTTATGTTCCTACCATGAACCTAAGGATATCATCATGGTGAAAATAGTGATCATATTGACCAGTTGACTCCTGACCATGATTAATGCAAGTGGCATCCTTTAGAAAGGATGAAAAGTCTCATGAGAGTATTCTGCTTAAAGCTCAGACTTTGATGCAGAGCATATACCAATAGCCATTAATAGCGTGTTGTATTAAATATCCTCATGAGGCCTTTGCTCCAAACCGGTGGTGTAATGAGAAACCAGTTTCATTGATTTCAATAAGAGATGGTGATTCAGAATGTGAGCTAATCTGTGAATATCAGAAAAAATAATCATTTATCAGTTCACTGTGCTGCGTGCCCACCCAATCTTTTTTTTTAATAAAACAGTTTGGCTTGGGATTACACAGTGCACCAGTTTTCATTAACATCAGAGTATCCACTCCTTGATAAATGCAATTGCTCTTTCTAACCTCCATCACCAAAACAACCCATAGAAAAAAAGAATCAAAATGTCTCACCTTGTGAGAACACAGTTAACGAAACAAGTTTCATGTTGGGTTTAATAAATTATTTTCCTATTGATTTTTAATACTAAGCAGGGAAAAATATTTCAACTAGAAATACTTCCTAAACTTGTCCTCCGTTTTAAGAAAAATGATCTTTTTCAACCTCCCATGACAGTTTCCTCCTTTCAGCTCTGTAAAACATTAGCTATGCTACTCAGCTTCTTAGTGTCTTTTTTTTAAGTTTTCTTTGACATCACAATGACAATTGCAGAGCAGATACAAACTTCTATAATCCACAATATATGCCAATTTGATGAGAACAATTTTGCGCATTGTGGTACATGAAAGAACTATACAGGGTAGACAAATTGTCACATTGAAGACAACATTACTGTTTTGAAGCTCCATGCTCTACACATTACCTTCTCTTAATCTTTCTCAGCTGAACGTGTGTTCAACAGAGGATGGATACCCACTCACTACCCACCATGTACTCCAGAGGGGTTAAGGACATTTACACAATGGCTGTCAGCTGCCATTAGGTCCTTTCCGTCTATTAAAAAAACACCTTGTCCTGCAAGAAAGGTAAAATTCTATTCAAGAGTGAGGTGTATTTGGGGACTGTGACCATCATGGGTGAGTAGCTAGAATTGTGTGCAACTTGTGAGGTGTGGAATAAGGTTTTCAATGGTGATAAGTTTGTAAGGTTGAGGTGAAGTTTTTGGTGTTAGGTATGAATTGGGATTGTTCATAGGTATGTAATGAGGGTA